TTTTTTTTTTTTCTTCTTTTCTGAGGTTCACGACTCCTTTTTTTTTTTTTTTTTTTTTTTTTTTTCTGGGGAGAACATTGAGATCATTTGAGATACCGGGGCCATTACCCGGCTTCGGCTGAGATCAGTCTGTGAATATCTAATGACCTACGAAAGCTCACAACCCTCAGGATCCCTAACCAGCCCTTCTAAGACTTTCCAACACAGTCTTACTCCCTGCTGAGTTCTTCCAGGCCTCCTGCCCCCACCCTGCTGGGTTACAGGGCAACACAACTCGCCCCAGCTCCGACCAGCGTCATCCCAGCAGCAAACCTTGGCTGTCCCTTGGGATGCCCCCCCAAAGCATCCCCAGATCTCTCTACCAGGCCTCACGCTCCTGCATCAGCAGGTTACAGGGCATCACCCCAGCACCGGCCAGCGTCGTTATAGCATCGAACAGCCACAGATCATTGAGTATAACCGCTTCAGAACCGCCTAAGATGGGTTGTTAAGATTCCCTAGAGTCCTAAGACATTCATAAGAACCACCGACAAACCAGATAGGTGAAACCTATTCAATCCACCTACGACCACCACCAGTATGGCTGTTTTCAGCACAAACCGAAGCTCTTCCAGGCCTCATGCTCCCATCAGGTTAGGTTACAGAGTTGCACCACCTTGCTCACCACCTTGCTCCAGCACCGGCCAGCATTGCTCCAGTTACGACCCCCGATGACCACTGAGACTACCCCCGCACACAGCCCCCTAGAGCTCTCTACCAAACCTCACGCCCCCACTAAGCTAGGTCACAGAGTTGCGCCACCTGGCTCCGGCTCCGGCCAGCATTGCTCCAGCATTGGTCTTCGAGGGCCGCCGAATTTTCAACCACCCTTCGCAGGATCACAGAAGAATTGCCAGATAGCACCTATTCCTACAACCTTCTCGAGCGGCAAACCAAATGAACAGAATTAGTAAAAAACCTCCCAACCACGAAACAGATAGGTGAAACCTATTCAATCCACCTGCGAACACCACCAGCATGGATGTTTTCAGTACGAACCGAAGCTCTTCCGGCCTCATGCTCCCATCAAGTTAGGTTACAGAGTTGCACCACCTTGCTCCAGCACCGGCCAGCATTGCTTCAGTTACGATCCCCGATGACCACTGGAACTGCCCACACAAACAGCCCCCCAGAGCTCTCTACCAGGCCTCATGCCCCCACTAAGCTGGGTCACAGAGTTGCGCCACCTAGCTCCGGCTTCGGCCAGCATTGCTCCAGCATCGGTCTTCGAGGGCCGCCGAATTTTCACCCACCCTTCGCAGGATCACAGATGACTTGACAGATAGCACCTATTCCTGCATCCTAAAGATGATGATGATGGTGATGATGGTGACGACCAGCTCACCTGCGGATGTGAACGGCAAACAATGCCTTGAAGGGCAAACATCTAATGATGACAAACTGATGAAGGTGATGATGATGATGATGGTAGTGATGAGAATGAAGACAGAATGATGATGCTGATCATACTAAAGAGCAGCATTACAAACTGATGATGATGATGATGATGATGATGATGATGATGATGATGATGATGTCGGTGATGATGGTGATGATGATGATGATGATGATGATGATGATGATGATAACAACGCACATCGCCCTGTGCTAACTCAAGATGATGATGATGATGATGACTTGAATCAGATGATGATGATAAGGATGATGATGGTTGACCCATGCCCTGTTGATGATGATGATGATGATGATGATGATGATGATGATGATGATGACAATGAGCAACCCCCTGATGCTGATGCCTATCATTTGTAACCCGTTGCTGCTGATAAAAGACCTCTCCCTGTTGCTTGATCGTGCTGCTTGTATGGCGTGAAGACGAAGACAATCTGTCGTTGATGAAAACGAGCTAAGAACCCCAGTCCCTCCACTCCTTATCCCCCTCCACTCCTCCTCCCATCCCGTGGGACACACTGCTCTTCTCCCTCTTGCTACAAGCCGACCTTCTCCACCAAATTATGCAAGATGAAGAGCACAAATGATTCCTCCTCAAGCAAGACCTAATAAAAAGCCTTACCCCACCTCACACGGCATACTAACCCGTAGCATCACTCGTGCGAGGCACAAGACACCGAGATGGCACTACAAATGCTTTCAAATGTTAGGAGATAGAGAGTTGAAGTGTTCACCCAACTTCGCCATTCTACAACTCCCTGCATCATCATGACATCGCCCGACAGTGCCTGACATGACCACGTATCCTCGCACAGCAGCGCCCGGCGTCGCCGTGCGTTACCGCGTAGCACCACTTGGCATGACAGCACGTCGTCACACAGCAGCACCTGGCTTAGTCGCACGTCATCCTGCAGCAGCACTGCGTCGTTGCGTAGCAACGCCAACTCCCTGCATCGCCACGTGTCATCATTCAGCGGCACCTGTCATACCCACGCATCCATGCTCAGCGGTGCCCAGCGTCGCTGCGCGTTACCGCACAGCTACACCTAGCATAACCGCACCGCGCCTGCCCGCTTCTCCATCGCCCGTCGGCGAGATCGTGTCGACGGGGCACAGCGCTCGCGGACGCGCTGCGCCCCGCGACAGTAGCGGTTGCCTTCCAACCCTCAGGATCCCTACCAAACCCTTCTAAGACTTTCCAACACAGTCTTACTCCCTGCCGAGCTCTTCCAGGCCTCACTCCCCCACCCTGCTGGGTTACAGGGCAACACGACTCGCCCCAGCTCCGACAGCGTCGTCCCAGGAGCAACCCTTGGTTGTCCCTTGGGATGCCCACCCCAAAGCATCCCCAGATCTCTCTACTAGGCCTCACGCTCCTGCATCAGCAGGTTACAGGGCAACACCCCAGCACTGGCAAGCGTTGTTCGGGCATGGAACAGTCGCAGATCACTGAGTAAACAACATCGAAACCGCCTAAGATGGGTTGCTAGGAGTACCTAGAGTCCTAAAACATTCTTAAGAACAACCGACCTTTTTTTTAAGCAATCGAACATTCAGCGATAGGAAACAAGTGTTGAGTTCAGTCTACGCAAGAAGCAAACACAACTCCCAGAAGACAAAACTGGCGACCAGCGTTCCAACCCCCCATTTTAACAAGCTAACCCAAAACCAGCTCACGCCTTTCTGTCCTCGTAACTTAACTCCCCGAGTCTCAAACCCCCTTTTCAGCTAGGGTTACAGGGCAGCACAACCCGCCCCAGCGCCGACTCTCATTGTTATAACGGAATGGAGTGCCTTCCTCCCTCGACAACTCCCCCAGCCTCTGTCTCCAACCGGATCACAGGGCTATACCCCAACATCGGCTAGTTATCGAAAATTGCTGGTTGTCTGCTATCCTCGACAAGTTCCCAGACCTCAAGCTCCCGCTGATCCGAGTTACAGGACGGAGCAACCACCCCCCAGCACCGGTCTGCGTCATCCCAGCAAAAATCTCCTAAGACATACTCAACCCAAACCAGATTCTGAATTGCCTGTTGAACCTGACAACCGTTCCCCTTCACCCAGTTCTACTTCTGTCCCAACAAGACTCACAAGAGCTGCAGTTGTTGAAGGTGAAAGCTAGAAAATTTTGGTTCGAGACTGATGTAGGCACCATTCTAGTGAGACGTTTGGGGCAGGGCACCCTAGAAACTGGTAGCCTACTGGATCAGGGGGAATGGCAACCCTTATGAGTGCTTTCCTTTCAGTTTCCCCTTATGGTTTCCTTCCTAACCGCCTGGGTCCAACTGTTAGGACATTGGAATGGAAGATATCGAAACAATAGATGCCTTGTATAACAAGGATATATGTATCGAGGAAACCCATCTAATGGATACAAAAACTCATCATCATGCACATAAGGTACCTCCTTCCCCCACCGAAAGATCACGGATACCATAGAGCATATATTTTTGCAATGCCCGGGAGTGGTTCTGACATGGCGATGGGGGGACAAGATCTGGCGACAGCTTGGCACTATATCCACATGGGCATGGGACTGGAGAGCTCTCTTATGTGAAGCTTGGTCCTCCTTTCTAAAATAACATGTTTACGACGGGGAGGAGAGCTATCATTTGGGCCGTTTGGCGAAAAAGGTGCATACTCGCGATTGAAGGCGTCAGGATAGAGGGGGAAGAGATCACCGAAATGGTTAAGCAATATCTTCAGGAAGAACTCAGGGTACAATGGCAAAGTGTGAAAGCAAAACTTGATTTGTTTCAAACGAAAAAATACATAATGCAAGTTATCCAACAGTTCTCCAGGGAATGGTTGGGGAGGGAGGGCAAGATAGCCCACATTCGTTGGGAGGGATGACAGTCTTCGGAAGGGGGTGAAGACGTGCTCAAAAGGGACTATGGTATCTGTTTTAGTGATTGGACCAAGGTTGATGAGGCGGTTCCTTTGCGCCCTCCTTCTGATTTTCCTGCCCTCTTTCCACCCCACGGACTCTCCATTGCAGATCTACAGTGGTACAGAGCTTAGCTGTTTAGGGATCTTCAATAGGCAGATCTACGTCATGATAGAAGGTAGATGGAGTCTTGCGAGAATGCTAGGAGCGCCCGTAGGTTAAAAAAGGGGAGTTGCTAGTGTAGTTTCAGTATGGCTCAGGGGGAGGGAGGAACTAGCGTTTAACAGTGTATCCAGCGCCGAATGCAAGGTGAGGAGGTTCCCCCTTCCTTCCAATATCCTGCTCAGTCAATCCCCTGAACTCCATGGCAATCAATGCTGGCAGGAACACTCATAACTTCTTTTTGATGTATTTCAAACTCAGTCTGTATAAGGGACGATGGACCCGGTTTCCAGCAGGTGATGCTCCCCACCAATAGATGGAGCCTCTCCCCAGGTGCTAGTGGTGTTTGCTCTTATCAACACCACTAACACTGGTGGGGGCGTTTAAAAAAAAAAAAGGTAATATGGCCATACCAAGATTTTAGGGCCCATGGACCAAAACCTGGAAGTGAGGAAGTAGCTATTTGGATCCCCCCAAACTTCAGGGTTGATCCCATATGCACAAAAGTTGATATGGAAGAAGGGAGATGGACCTTTATACTGCCAAATGCTCGAATTGGAGGTGGTACGTATTATATGTGTATATGAACCCAATGGTGTAGGAGAAAGACAAACTTTTTTCGAGTCTTGTCTTCCTCATCTCCCATAAGGAATCCTGATCATTATCGTCGAGGACGTCAATGCAGTCCCAAATCAACAGTTTGATCAGTGACGCATCCCAACCCCATGTCCAGTGTATGTTGAAACGGGTGAGATAATAGTTGCTATTTTTTGTCAGTTACTCGAACTCTTTCATTCTTATAGGCGGCTTAACCCCATTCTACGCTCATTTACCTGTTTCAGGAAAAGTCAATCCAGACTGAGCTCTAAGTCTCGTAATGACCTTGTTCACTCTTATTTTGCAAGTCGGCATACCCATCTAAGCTACTTCTTGAGACAATTGAGCATATCTTCCTCCATGTCCTGGGGCTATTTGGCTGTGGAGATGGAGGGACTGTATCTGATCCGATCTTGGTACAATACTTTAGTGGCCAGGTGACTGGACGACCTTCCTTCTCGAATCCTGGTCCCCATATTCCATTGATGAGTTTTCAAAGAACTTGTACATCTTAGGTAGGAAAGCGGTAGTCTGGGCAATATGGTTGAGAAGATGTACATATGAAATGAAAGGTGTTCGTCTGGATGGACCCATTCACTAAGACAATAAAGCAACAAATACAAACTAATATCACTATGAAATAGGAACAACTTAAGGAAAAAGTTTGTTTGTTTGTTTGTTTGGTTGGTTGGTTGTTTGTTTGTTTGGTTGTTTGTTTGTTTGGTTGTTTGTTTGTTTAAGAATCTCCGGTCTATTCGCGGGGAGCAGCACGTGCTGGGAACCGGGCCCAGCGTCCCATTGAATAACAACACATAATAGCACATAACAATATGTAGACGCACGTTCGAGAATCCCTCAGAGATTCTTAAGAACAACTGAGACTCTTAGGGCCCTGCCAGCATTGATTGCCCTAGATATCAAGTGATTGACTGTGCAAGGCCAGTCTCTTAAGTGGAGACATACGGCCGGTTGGCCAGACCCTCAGGAAGGGCAAGGGGGGGGCAAAGTCGCCTTGGGCCCGGGGGCACCGGGACTCATGGCGATGTTTTAATCTCCCCGCTTTCCAGTTAACAGCAATGTTGGTTGTGGTTGCGAAAAAGGTCCTAGGAAGATGCTGAGCTTCCTTGCGGATGAAGCAGATGAAAGAGGTGAAACAAATGAAACGGATGAAACAGGTGAAATGGATGATACTTAGATGCTCAGATATCATCCCGCAGGTTTTCCACCAGAGACCACGGATTGGGAGGGAATAGATCAGCAAATTCCTGAGCTGGTCGTAGCGGTTACCTACAATCCACCGTTGTCCACTCATGAAATTGCAGCCTATAATCCCTTTCTATGTCTACCCATTGCCCCCCTTGCGTCCCCATCTCCTCTTCATGTTGTTGATATTGATGTCATTGGTCCTGTCGTTGTTCATGCCCATCCCCTGCCCAGATCACCTTGGCCACCCAGCCCTCCTTCTTCCCTCCCAGCCAGTCCTCACTGAACCGGGAGATAATTATATCCATATCCCCCCTGGTGTGTGCTCGGTTCAATTTCTTCACCACGCAGACAGGACATATTCTCCTCGAAGGTATTTCATCGAATCTGGGAGCAGTGTCCTAGTAGAATGGCCCTCCAGTCCCATGGCTAGAATGTGCCCGACACTATATGCCGCCAAATCCTATCCCACCATCGCCATAACAATACGGTCGAGGGGGACTGTAGGAAGATGTGCTCCACAGTCTCGGGGCGCCTTTTGTCGGGGTAATTCTGGCGGCATCTCAGGCACCACGGCAGCACGCGTCCTTGCGGCTCCAACTATGTGTGCTCAATCAGCCAGTCGTTAGTTGGCAGAACCGGGAAATAATTATCCATATCCCCTTTTTTTTTCTTTTTTTTTTTTCTTTCAAGCAGCCCCCTGCAGTGTTAGTGGTGCTGATAAGAGCAGACACCACTAGCACCCGGAAGAAGGCTCCATCTATTGGTGGGGAGCGTC